CTCTTTGCCTCGTTATTTATGAAAGCTTTGATTTTGTTTTTCATTCTTTTTTCTTCTTTTCCCTTCCTTCCTTCCCCTCATTCCTTCTTTAGTGCCCCTACTCATTGTCTTCCTAGTTCACAATATCTGTTATGCATTTTGGTCCTTATTGACACTTTTGGATTCTCATACCAGAGAAACAATGTGATATTTTAATCAATGTCTGATTTATTTCATATAAGAGTATGATCTCAAGGTGCATTCATTTACCTAGAAATGTTTCAAGCTTACCCTTTTTTATAGCACATTGGTACTCACATCTTCTTTATCCAACCATCAGTCAATGAGTATTTAGACTGGATCCAAGATTTAGCTTTTACAAATGGTGCTGCTATAAATATAAGATGTGCATGTATCACGGTGATATGACGCTTTCTAATTCTTTCAGGAAAATAATGAAAAGGAAAAAAATCTGGGTCAAGTGGAACCTTTTATCTTAGTTTTTTGAAGAAATTCCATACTGATTTCCACAGTGGTTGCACTTGTGTACACTGTCACCAACAGTGAAGAACGATTAATTTTATCCCATAGCCCAGCCAGCATTTGCTATTGGTTTATTTCTTAATAATAACCATTCTTTCTGGAGTGAGACAGAATCTCAGTGTTGTTTTAATTTGCATCACTTGAATGACTAGTGATGCTGAACAATTTTTCATATATTTATTTGCTATTGTATTTCCTCATCTGAGAAAGGTGTATTCATTTCACTCAGGCACCTTATATTCAACCAGGGGCCAAACACCTCCACTAGAAGAAAGCTTCTTTAATAAATGGTGTCAGAAAAGCTGGCTTTCCATGTGCCAAAGGTTAAAATTAGACACATTTCTCTCATGATACACTAAATTAAAATCCAGAAAGATCAAAGATGTAAATATTACAATAGAAGCACTAAATTTGCTAGAGAGGATAGGTAGAACTCCTGAGGATATAGGTATAGGCAAAGAATATAAACATAACCCAAATTGCTTAGAAAATATCAAAGAATCAACAACTGTGATCTTTTCTTATTAAAAAAGCTTTTGCATAGCAAAATAGATCATCAAAAGAGTGAAGAAAAAACCCATAGAGTGGAGGAAAAATCTTGCCAGCTATTCCTCAGACCCATGACTAAGATCTAGAAATATATAAAGAACTTAGAAAATCGGCTTCCCTAAATTCAAAGACACAGTCCACAAAAGAAGTTAGATTCTTGCAGTAGAATTAAATGTATCAGCCTCAAAGTGACATATATAATTTCGGCTTACATTTCTTAATTTTAACATAATAGAAAAATACAATCCTCTACAGATGCAGAAGAAAGAGAGGACAAAATACTATTGCATATTGTTAGTACCTACCTAGAGCACTAATCTGATCATCAAAATTTAGTTTGTTCTTCTTCCCACCCATTTATATAATCAACTTTCCACAAAAAGGATAACTTCAAGTTCTCATTAAATCATAGAATTAAGATCAAGGCCAACAGATTTTTTGAATAGTACGGTTTATCAAGGGATAAAATATAGTGGCTATTAGACTCAGATGTCTTCTTTTGTTGATCTAAGTGCTATATTTTACCCTTTTCTGAGTCATTTTTTCTGGGTGGGAGGTTTCTCTAGCGGGCTTTCACTTTTATCTGGTGCCCCCTACATGTACCATAAGTATACACTTCAGAATTCTAAGTAAACTGGGAGCCAGGTAATCCAAGCTTCTCATTTTATGAGTATGACAGTTGTGACATCCCATAGCAACAGAAAGGGGCATAAGGTTTCAAACAGAGTGATCACCTTTGACAAATACATGGTGGCCTATAATAGATTTCTTTTGAATATTAAGTGAAAGAAAATACTTTAATGACTTTTCCCCTGCACTAATGCAAAATGTTCTTTGTCTTGATTCTTTGAATTAATGTTTGCTTGTGACATGTTTTGATGTGTACAGCACAATACATCAGTCGGCAGGGGTTAGGTACAAGCAACAGTGAGCAGCAACATAGCAGTGACTTAGAAAAGACAATGACTCTCCTGCTCTGCAGTGAGCCACCAGCTCCACCCGCTCTGCATTCAAGACATGGCTCCTTGCAACTCACTCCCTAGTATTTCTGCATTGTGATGATGCCCTTTGTCATGGAGTTAACATATGTATATATATTGACTAGGATTGGAAAAGCAGAAGAAAGAGATTTCAGGCACTGTTAATGGCAAGGTGCTCTTCCCTACCACGAAGGTGAACCAGCATGTCTGCGTAGTGTTTATGACCTGCAACCCTTGATGTTACTCTGACCCTCCAATTTAGCTAGTATGTTAGTTTTCCATTGCTGACCAAAATACATGAGAAAACCAACTCAAAAGAGAAAAAATTTATTTTAGAACATGATTTCAGAAGTTTCTGTCCATAGTCAGCAAGTTCCATTGCTGTGAACATGAAGCAAGGCTGAATACCATGGTGGCTGGGAAACGGATGAGGAAAGAGGCTAAAAATCAGAGATTGTCTTGTATGGTGAGGGAAATTAAAACTGGATAACTAGCTCTCTCTGCCAGAGCTCTCATAGGTTCCAGTTCTTATCATCTAGAGTGTTTTCAGGGGTTAAATAAGCTACTACAAAACCTGTATTGAGCTGTGCGTACACTAAACTAAACTAAGTAAAACTACTCCCCCTTCTTTGTCCTTTGGAAAACTTCATGTTTTTATAATTAAAGAACTTTTTATGTATCAACAGGTTTGCTACTCTGAGTTAATCATGAAACACTGTTAGTGGAAGAATCTTTACCTGGGTGTTTTGTGTGGATTAACGTTAAGCAGGATTGTTAAATTGGCTTTTGAGGAGTTGCTTTCTTTCCCTGGACAAAGAGAATACAGGGTAAAGACTGTGACCTTCCTTATATAGAGAAGAGAATGATTTGGGGATCTGCTTTAGTACATGGAAAAGGAAATTGATTTATAGTATGAATTTACATGGAAAAACAGATTTTATTTAAATGCACTTTGAACAAATTCATACAAATGAAGTTCAGCGCATATCTGTGCAGCAGTATTTATTGAATTTTAACACAGGTCAGGCACTAGTCTAAGCAAGTCATGTAGATGTTCACATCCACATTTAGTTTCACAGAACTCTGTGAGGCACCTATAATTAGTATTATTCACACTGGCCGAATAAGGAACTGCAGCATGAATAATACACTTATTGAGATCAAATAAAGGGGGTGACCAACCTCAAGGCCTTTCTCTTGTTTCTCCCCTGCACTTGAAGAGCCTGCCTTGTCCTAGAAATGGTGTTCAGGACTCGCTCTGTACTGGGGCAGGGAAATGAATACAAGAGGCAAACGCTGCCAAAGAAGTGGAGCCAAAGGTGCTTCTGCCTCGCACACAGGCACCTAGAAAGTCAAACTGACTAGATGGTGCATTCTAGAATCATTCTGATTAAATACAGTTTAATAATGAGTAACCTCTCACTGCATTAAGACCAGCTCCCCCTACACCCCCCAAAAACCTCTAGAGAGTGCAAGGTAGGGGCCAGGGAAAGAGGGGCAGAGGTGGGTGGCTCAGGGGCACTGCTGCAGACTTCAGGGGCCCTTTTGGTTGTCTCTCACCTTCCTCTCACACCTGTCTGGCAGCAAGTAGCATCTCAGATGTGTTCCAGAGTGCCAATGTCCTTAGCTTGCAGCACTGGGGCTCAATACAGTAAGGAGTAGCTTCAGCGAAGGACTTCAGAGCAAGGTATCAGTTTAAAACCATCTAGACTGGTACAGTGTGCCCCATGCTGTGCTGTACCTAGGGCTCCAGGTAGCAGGTAATCCCTGCCCCCGCATCAGGATCCCCTGGGGCAGGAAACTCCTGCGTGGCGCCTAGACTAGCCCCATTATGGTCTGTGGGGACTCCCAGGGCGGTGTGAGCTCTGACTGCCCAGCTGTGCAGACAGCCTTGAGACCTGTGGTAAGGCAGAAGACGCGGCCTTTCATTGCTCTTAAATTTGCTTCATACCTATTTTGGTCTCGCGATTGACAGACAAAACCGCAGTGTTGCAGAAAATAAGCCTGCAGGCAATAGGACCACGGAAAATTCTCTCTCTTCTTCTTCTATTTTTCTTCCCTCCTCTGTCCTCCATCCCCCAACCCTTTTAATGTTCTCCAGCCTACATTCACCTCTTGCCTAAGAAATCCCCTTGGCTCCCAGTGTGTGTGTGTGTGTGTGACTGTGTGTGTGTGTGTGTGTGTGTGTGTGTGTGTGTGTGTGTGTGTGTGTGTGAGTGGTCTGGCAATGGCATATGTGAACGGCAGACTGAACAGGGGCAATCTAAACCCAAAAGGCTGGAGACTTTCCTGCCATTCACAGAAGTTATGAAAATCCCGTCTTTGGAAAGCTCTGGAGCCCCAAATGCTCAGCGCGACTAAAGAGTTCCCGGGCGCAGCTGGAGGCGCAGCAGCTATAAATAGAGCGGGCTGGAGCGGGGCGCAGCCGGAGCGGGCGGGATTCCGGGCTCTCCCCCGCGCCCCGCCCCCTCCGCGCCCCTCCCCCCCACTGCCTCTCCCCTCCCCCTCCCAGTCGTCGGTCCGCGGGGGAAGCCGCGGGCGGGCGGGAGCCTTAACCCCAGCGCTGCGGGAGAGGAAGTCCAGAGGCTCCTCCAGCCGTGCTTGGAAGCAGCTCGATCTGTGCTTCCCTCTCCATTTCCTCGAAGCTCGAGTTAGAACGCCTGAAATTCGACCTTAACACACACACGCCCCCACGCACACGCTACAGATGGTGTTTGATAATTAGGATGGTATGTTGTTCTGTATCTGTCCCGAGAGGCTTAAACCCAAGCCTTTAAATTAAACATCCCCAAATTTGGGGCTGGGATCGTTGACTTCGTTGTTCTGCGCAGGGTTCCCTCGCCTCTGCACTGTGCTGTGCTTGCACCGGGAGGAAACTACCTAGTGGAAACGGCGTGCGTGTGCGTGTGTGTGTGTGTGTGTGTGTGTGTGTGTGTGTGTGTGTGTGTTTGGGTGTGTGCGCGTGTGTGCCGGGTGTGCGCGCGCGCGTGTTTCATTCTGGCGCAGGCACAGCCCTCCCCAGCCTCAAGGTCGGCAATACCCAGAGCTTTGGGGCCCCCGCCAACCTGGCTGGTTCCTGCAGCCAGGAACTCGGGAAGGAGGGAGTCCCCAGTCCCGGCAGGGATTCCTGGGACGCCGTTCCGTTTTTAGCTCGGGCGGTCTGAAGCGGGAACCGGCAGGTAGGAGCGGGGTTCCTCGAAGGCGGACTCCGACCAGCCGCCAGTGGGCAGCGGGGGCCTGCGCGACCCCACTCGGCCCCGCCCGGCGCCCGCACCCCGGGGCTCCCCGGCGGGGGAGGAGGGGGGTGGCGCGCTTTAGGTCGCCACCCGTCACGGAATTTGACACCCGAGAGACAGCTGGTCCTGGCAAGGACTCCTGATCCTTTTCAAATGGAAACAGTTTCTATCAGTGAATCTGCCAGAATTCTTGGTGGAATCGCACTTGGGCTTTGCCCCTTGGCGCAGTTAACCAAGGCCGCATTTATCACTTTGGGGCGAGGAGTGCTTCAAATGGAGCGGGGTTCCAGGTTGCAGAGCAAGGTAAGCGGGCAGGTGACAGATGACTTCTCTGGGGGCTACAGATCTCCTAGGGAACAGCCTCCCCCAGGCTAGATGTTCAAGTTTGGTTTGGGCTTCCATTCCTTTGCTCCCTCACATCAGGCCTCTGGTGCCCTGCAGTCTTTCTTGCCTCAGCCTTCACTCCTTAAAAAGAAAGATCTTCTGGGTTGGTGGGATGCTTTACCCTCTTGTATTCCGCATGTGAATGTGCGGCCCTAGAGGTCAACTTGCATGACCTAGAGTTTCCTGTCATCCCTTTCTGCCCTCCTTTCTCCTTTGCCTGATTTCTCTGCTCCTCTGTCTTCATCGGATCTTTTATGTCTCTGCCATCTCCATTTCTAACTTCCCTGTCCTCTAGTTGAAAATACGAGGAAGATAAAAGGAGACAGGGGAGAGTGTTGGGGGGAGGGGGGCTCCTGTGTAACGCAGTGTTGGGGTCCTGGGTGGTTTGTGCATCATTTATTCACCAAGGGTTGGGGAGCACCTACTGTGCTGATGCTCAGCTTCTTCAGATTTGGGGTGACCAGACCTCCTTCTTGAAAATAAATTGCCCCGGGAACTTTGCCCCTGAATCCTCTTCTTTTTCTTGGCTACAGGGATAAGTATCTGCAAGATCAGGAGGATGCAGACTTGAGGGGAAAGAGAGAGCTTGCTAGGTCCAAGCTGGTTTAGGGCCATTGAATAATAATGAAAAAAAATCACACCTTAATAGTAATAACCAACATTTGTTGAGCACTCGTTATGTATTGTAAGAATGTTACAAACGTTAACTCAAATACTAAGCCTTTTATGCATCCCTATGAAATGAGAACTATGATCTCTTTTTTACAAATAAGGTAACTCAGGAAAAGATGATTTAAAGAATTTGTTTATGATTAAAGTAAACAGGGAACTGAGACAAATTCAGAACATCTGAGTCTAGAACATAGCTCTGAATCAGGGCATATCTCTGTCGTTTATCCATTCCATCTTAGGCACTGTTACTGAATTAAAAATGCAACAGCAAACCATTCAGCCAACATCCTTGTATTCTACTTGCAGGAAACAGATCGCCTACAAATAAAAATCCTATTTGATTTTAGGCAGTGATAGATACCAGGCGGTAAAAGAAATAGAGTGATGTAAAAGAGGAAGGCTGTCTTGATAAAGAGTGGAAGAAAAGTTCTCTTAGTAAGACATTCAACCTGAAGTGCTGAAAATCTGTGAGATACAGATGAATGTAGTAAATGATGGTAATGACCTCCAGGAATAATGGCGATGCAAATCAAGGCGACACTGAAATACCCTTTTACATGCATCAGCTTGGATTGAAATGAAAAAGCCCCACAATGTCACGTTGTTGAAGAGCATGTGGAGCCAAAGGGCCTGCAGACATTGGCACTAGGGGTATGAATTAGCACAATGACTTCACAACAGTTGACCCTTATCTCTAATCTGACCTGTGCACCTGTGACTCAACTATTTATCTTCTTCTATGTTTTACTTTGAGAAACTCTCACATAATTTCAGCAGGAGGCAAATATGCACAACATTCTTATTCCTAATAATAAAAACCTGGAACTGCAGTACCTGTGCAGTTTTACCACAAATAGGAACATTATACAGCAGTCAAAATATATAATTAACAATGTAAGTAGTTCTTAGCAGAAATATGATATGAAGGGAGAGGTTCTGGACTAACAGCTCAAGAAGATCAACTAGAAACAGATCCTGTAAGGCCTCCTTAAACAAGGTGATGGACCAAAGGGTTTTAAGCAGGGAAGTAGTATAACTGGGCTTAAAATCTTAAAAGATGATGTGGATGTTGCATGGAGAATGGACAGGAGAAAGAGGGGGCTGCAAAACTAGGGGTACAGGTTGCTGACAAGACTGCAGCTGTGATTCAGCAGGTTATTTACCAGAGTGCCCAGCCTGAGGGTCACATCTCTAAAATCCAGCCCATGCGGTTCCTGTGAGGGCTGTAAAGGGCCGGAGGAAGGGTACAGTGCAGATTCTATGGACCAGCAGTAGCTTCTTAATGGAACAGGGTACTGAAAATGGACCTAAAGAGCTGCAAATGGATTCAGAATGTAGTCTGAAGGTGAGATGGGTTAGACTTGTTGATGATTTGATGTAAGGGTCATAGCAAAAGAATCCAAGATAATTCCTGGATCATTTTGTTTGATTGCAAGGCTACCGATGCTGCATGTAGAGAAGAGGAAAGCCAGGTGGTGTTGGTGGGGGTAGTGTTTCACAGCCAGGGAAGAAAATCCTATTTTGGGCACACTAATTTTAAAATGTAAGTACAAATGCCAGGTAGGCAGTCAGATATGAGCCTGATGCTTGAGAAAGATGTTAGGGACAGAAATGATTGTGGCAATTGTCAGTGTAGAGAGGTATAGTTCAAATTCCCGCACCTGGTTGACATGGCAGGTTATAAAACCCTTTAGCCTGAGAATTTTATTTGTCATTTTTATCCTCAGCAAAGTGTAAAGGAGAATGGGTCATCAGTAAGTATTTGCTGGGCAGATGACAGAAGACATATACAAGAACAGAAGAGGGGAAAATGCACTAGGTTTCTGATGCTGCTGCTGTCTGAAGTCTGAAGTTATGTCTGTTTTAATGCTTTGTGAGACTAAATCAAGCCTAGTGGTGGATCTAACCCCCAAGGAGGATGTGGCCAGGGATCTTGGAAGTAGTGCCTCATATCCCCAGAGCCACTTAGAATAGCAGGGACTAAAGACATGGGGTAGCCGCAGGGACCATGAAGGTTAAGCAAAGGGGAGAAGGGTGCGGTCAGCTGGAAAAGGAGTATAATCAGCAAGAGAAGACAGAGGGAAGCAAGGCAGTTGGTTCTAACAGGGTTTGAGGCATAGTTTGGAGGGCAGTATATAGCTGGCATTTTGACAGATTCCAGTGAACCTAGGGCAGGGTAGCGGTCTGCCTGCAATGTTCCCACCATCTTCCACCTCTCCTCAGGCAGGGTGACCTCTCATTTAGGAAGTGACCTCTGAGGCTTTGTCATATGAGATATCCCATACTGTCACTCTGCTATGCCTGGGGTGAAGTATCTGGCTTGCATGTAGACTTGCCTTGTGGTCACAATACTCTCCTGGTGCCAGGAGTGGAGGGCTGGCCTTACTCTACTAAACTCCAGCCTCCTGCTGTTCTCCGGTCTCATCACATGTGGTCGCTTTGGTGACATCTTGTTCTCAGGCAAACTTTCTCATTGCATTTCACATGGCCTTGTCTCTTGTCCTCAAGTGTGTGCTCCTGGTCCCTCATTTACTGATGTATCTCTGATGCCTCATACAGTGCCTGACATAAGGTGTATGTGTAGGGGTAGTGCAAAGGAGAGGAAGGAGAAGTTCTCCTTTTCTGCATGGCTTTGAGAAGATCAAGACGAGGCCATCCCATTCTCGCTAAAGATAAAGGAAGTTGGGTGTGGTATTGCTTAAGAATGTGGGCTGTGATACACAGTAGATCTGTAGCTGTATTCTGGCTCTACCACACACAGTCTGGTGATGTCTCTCAACCCTCAATTTCTATATCTGTAAAATATGGATGATAACAAAACCACCTGTAGTGTGTAGTTCTGAAGTTTAAACATGCTAAGAATGTGATGCTTGTAGTGTGCTACCTGCCATATAAGGACACAGTGAAGTTCAGCTGCTACTATTTTCCATCATATTTAATTGTTAGTGCCTCCTTTTTTGACCAGCTTCAAGGACTGCTTCTAATTCCCAGTAGTTGTCTTCCTTGCAGTGTAGCCAGTGCTCCGACAGTGGGGTTGCAGACAATTTTTTGGCAGATGGGGATCTTATTCCTGGGCTCACAGGCATTTACTATTCAGTTTCTCACATTATGCCACAGTGCTCCACTGCGCATAACTCCCAGCCAGCTGGGAGTCTGAATAATAGCGAGGATTCAGGGTGTATTTATTCAACATTCCATAAACGGTGATTGAATGTCTTACTATGGAAATGGAGATGCAGCAATGACTAAGGCACAGTCTCTGCTTTCAAGGAAATCACAGTCCAGTTAAGGACAGAAAAATCGACAGCCTCAGCATAGATATTCAAGAGAGTATTCTGTCTGAGTCAGGCCCCCAGCCTCCGAATACCTGGATCTATCCTGCCCTGCTGGGGAGAACGGTGTGAAATAGTAGTATGTACTGACCTCTTGTATTTGCACGTATATTTACAATTTACAACTTGTGTTCACTTTGAAGTATTTCATGTGATTTTTCACAGTGTCATGAGACAGTAGAGACTATGAAATCTCACTCCATTGATCAAACATCCTGTGCAAGGCTTTATTGATCTCACTGATATACGCCTTTTACATTGTTCCCAGCCAGGGGCCTATCTGGATTGCCATCCTTGGGGGTGGGATTTGATCTTGAATTCTTATTTTAACCCTTAGATATGATGGCTAAGTTTAGATCCCCTGTGGGGATCTTTACTCTGCGGACTGACATGGATAGCCAATGCCATCCAGGTGCATCCACTTCAATCTCTGAGATTCCAGCTTGGTACTGAGATGTGAAACCTAGGTAAGGACCGTGGTAGCTCCGATGCTTGTGTAGAGGGCCTGGCAGAAGAATCTCAGTTTGCTCAATTTGTCTAATTAGTTGGATATGTATTTTCCGTGACTAGAAAAGAGATAGGACTCACTTTGCCTCCTTAAACATGCAATGACATATTGCACCTTCTGAGATGTTTTAACTTCTGTATCATTTATGAAATACTTAGAAGTCTTCTGCTGCTCAATGCATCACTGATTAAAATCTTTTTGGTTACTTGCAGAATATAGATTTACTTCTTCCTTAAAATGTGTTCAAGGAAAGTAAAACTCACATATTTGTTATGTGAGTATTATGTAGGAAAATGAGTTTGTTACTCAGTACAATATGTGCATTTCACATCTTGCGTTTTTGTCTCTGTGGAAGATAGGATAATAGGTATCTTTGTTGCCCACACACTGTTGAGGGAGGGGGCAGC